GGGGGGGGGGAAGGGGGGATCAAACAAAATGCCATTTTGATCATTTCCAGTCTGCTGAAGCACACATTCACCTTTTTATTAGAAAAATGCGCAAAGAAATTACTCTGTGACAGAACCCAAAATAAATAGAACACGTTCCTAACACAATTGAACATGCAGGAATTATATTAAGTAACTTATTATCCTCCCCCTCCTTTTGAAATTAATTTCTATGTAGCATTTCAGAAACAATTTTAATTACTTCAGAGCTGTTGTCACATTAACAAAGAACAAATTCCATGGGGCTGTCAAAAAACCTCATAACTGTCAGTGGAAACAGAACCAATTTCATCATTCGCCAGTCAAATTCTGTCATTACTAATATTACAGAAAGTATTTAAGTTGCCCCCGAATTCTGCATTACGTTAAAAAAAAAAATCTATTAATGAGGTTCTTTTTGGTACATTTGACCCTAAGTTGTCCCTTAAGGTCTTGTGACACCCTCTCTACGTACAGGCCAGCAGCAGACTGAAAGAACAACGCCTGGATTGAGACTGATTAAAGCATCTACACTCACCTGAAAAGCTACAGAGAACATTAGTTTTGTCAACTCTAGCCAAGTTACACAGTACCAAAACTCAAGTGCCTGGCAACCCTAACTTGTCTGTTTTATGGACATAAAGTATATGATAGCATACAGTTTATATTTAACCACAATTTTTTTTCCCCATGACTATGCCTTGTCATCCAGGCAATGAAACAGACTGTTGCTCCTCAATGAGTCTCTATTCAGTATTTAGTTTTAAAACTCACTGTTCGTTTGCAGGTTCTGGTCTTATCTACCGCATTTTTTTCCAGACATTAATCTGATTTAGTAAGTCTCTCTAGGCTGTTCTATAGCACTTAGCAGCATAGTACAAACTCTTCTTTTTACAGCATCTTTGCAAAATGGACCGTTGTGAAAACAAACTGCATTTTATATATGGGGAACCACATTTAATGTGGTTAAGTTCAAAAGTAAACATGAATTTTGAATGCACAGCGTGAAGTCTCCAGAGGCGACTTTTCAAAACACCTGCCACCTTGTTCAGTAAGTACTGCTCCAATTTATTTCATTGGGAGCTGCAAGATCATTTTTTTAAATAAAATTCAAGACTCGAGTAACAGACAACATTCAAACAGAGATCTCAATGAAAAGCTGATGTTTAAGAAAAGTGACCCAGTCTCACATATAGCATCGCTATGGCAAAAGCAGAAATACAACTCTGTTCCCTCCTGCAGTCTTGCCACGTTCACAGATCAATTTTCTATTTCTCTTATGAAGCCGGTAAAATCAGAAAAACTATGCTCAAATTTTCAGGTAAAGTCAACCACATCACAATTATTCAAGCATCCAAAGCCATAAGCAAAAGCCCTTTTTTCATATGACTAGTGGTACGCTTCAGAGGCAAATGCTCTCCCCCGACAACTGTTAAAACAAATCCAGCCATAAAACACAAACTTATTTGCCAAAGCAGCCAGAAACGTCTTGAAAAAAACCAGTTGTCTAGAAAAAATCATGGGGTAATCGAAGTCTGTATCACAAGGTACACAATGGAAGTCATTTAAGATCATACCAGCAGCTGTAAATCCAACAATTCACAATTCCCAGCCAGTGAATATCAATCAGTTTTACAACCTTAACAGTCCTTATAGAAACTAACTAAAAGCAAGGTTTTTTATGATTTTAACACCCAGAAACTGCCTTAGGCACCACATCTGCAGGCACAGCAGCATTTTGTAGTGTTGAAACTCGTACGTTCACAATTTAGATTTCTCCTTATCATTACAGTGTTCATGATAACGGCAAACATCTGACATAGTCTTTACATACAGGTTGGCATTATGAAGAGACACAAAAAACTCAATTCAGATTGATTAAACCAAACAAAGATGTGCTGAGGAACACTAGCCTCATGGCCTGTTTCCTGCTACCATTATTTCCCTCTCCCAGTAATGCTGATCCTCCTTCCCATTAACAAAAGTACTTGCCTCAGTTATCATCACCCCCAAGCATGCTGTCATTACTAAAACAAGCCAATTTGGGTGCTGGAAGTCATTATGTCCACACGGTTCAATCTGAAGATAGGGTTTAAAATGAAAACTGTCCTTACATATCGCATTTGTGGGACCTGAATCTACACCGAGAACTGTGTACAGCTATCCAAACAAACGCTACAGGAAATGAAACAGTAACAGAGACAACTGCATACACACACAGGCTGAACAGTATTTTCTCAATCGAGTGTCCCACTAGATGATACATATTGCAGAACTCAATCAAGTTGGGAAATTATAGCTTCCATAACGCAACTCAAACGAAATGGTTAGCCTGAATAATGTAACAAGACTTCTACCACTACTTTGCTATAGGCTATTGTCTTTAAAGTATGTGGTGTGGCTACAGAAGTGGTTCCTGCTGTTAAGGTAAGAGGCCACCAGTGCTGAAGCACTTCAGCTGAGCCACCTCCTGGCCAAACTGGCTCCACAGGCATCAATAAATCATCAGGGCTAAGGTTATATCCTGCCAAGTCCCAGCTACAGGGAAAGCCCAGTCACAGACAGTGTTGCACTGCCACAGCTCCCGCTGAAACAGGTGTTTCAGGCAGCAGGAAAGGAAGCGATGCGGGAGCTGCTCCCTCTGCCTTCAGTGCTGGTGCAGCTACTTGTTTCTGCTCCCCACCCAGAAAAATGGGCTTCCAGCACAGCCAGGCCGGGTGAGGCCCAAATGGCAACTCCACCCCCTCGCACGCATACTGCGGAGCTTGTAGCGCCTGCCTCGGCTACACCACAGTCTCTGCCCCGAGGCACAGCCGCGCTGGAGCGAAGGCTGAGGGGAGAGCGGGCCGCAAAGGGACCTGCTGCTTCCATCAAATGCCATGGCAGCACTACTGACCTGGATCTTGCCCCGCTAAGACTAGGCGAGATGAATTTTGGAGCCGTTATTGCACAACACATTGAAGCTTCTCGAGGAACAGAGCCAAGCACCGCACACAAACTTAGCGGGTTTAAAGAGCAAAAAGGGATTTCTGATAGAGCCTACTAAGGTATCAGCCATGGGATAACAAGGCGAGAAGAGAAAGCTAAATGAGACGGTTAACTGAGAATATCTCCCAGGAAGGTGAAGGCTGGCAAGCCTGCCAGGTACATCACCAACAGGAGAGTCACGGCACACACGCGCTGCCTGGCCAGGGCTATGCTGAAGATTGCCCAAAGCAGAACGGCAGCAGGCCTGCCCCATCGCTTCACCTACCTAAAATGGCACCGTGGGGGTAACTGTACCTGTTGCTTCACTCCTCACCTTTGGCTGTGTAGGCAGTCATCAGTGGAGGTTTATCTCCCAAGACTAATGCCATCATCCACAAAACTGCAGAGTAACATCTTATAACATCAAATTTTACGCTTCCATAAAGGATGTACCCGCTCAGCAAAGGGCCAGAGGGTGAAAACAGTACCGCCCTGCTGGCAGCGCAATGGCCTCATTCACCAGGAAAATGGGCAGGACTGTTTGAAGGAGAGGGATCGGCCATGTAGCTCACCTGAGGAATGTGAAACATCACCATTTTTCTGAAGTACAAATAGTTGTACTCCAGTACACTGAGTGGAAGTATTTCAACTAAAGCATTCAGAAAAGAGAACTACTTTCTGAACTGAAAGGGGAAGAGAAAAAAGAAAAAAAAAAAAATCTGATTTTTTTAGGAAAACAGCGTATATTTATTCACTTTATTTTTTTAATAGAAAATAAAAATCTTAGGTTTTACTTATTTGGCAAAGAATAATCAAAGCAGAATCTTGCAGGGGGAAACCGCTGAAAAGGAGAAGTACACTTTGGCTGAATTCTGTTTCTTTTCTAGAAAAAACCCAACGTGACACAGCAGTGGGAAGCCATTTCACTGTCATGATATGCACATTCTTACCAACAGTCTTCTGTGCATGGATTTCATATTTCCTTCTCTAGTATTCTGAATTAAAACACTTTTCTTTTTAATCTGCAACTCTTTTTTGCTAAAAGCTTTCTTAGTGAACAGTGAAAAAATAATTGCTGTCAGTTTACTGTTTCAGAAATGGTAAAGCAACATAACAAGGACAGTTTTGACAAGCAGGTATAAACAACTCCAGAAAGCATATCACTGCAATATAGAACAACGGAGTGCCACAGGTGCATACAAAGCAAGTGAAATAGGCTTAGGCTTTTCATAGCTCGTACTACTGAAATGCCAGGAAATAGATAGATTGGGATAGTAAAGGAGATCCTGTGTATAGTTCTTGTCTCTTACCTCTACCACTGGAAAAGGATTAATAAAATCCAAAAGCTAAGATTCATATTTGATACTCGAAGCTAAGAAGTTTTTTAACCCATTTGTTGAAAAATGTAATGTTTTTAATTTCATTTGTGAAGTTAAAAACCAGGTTCACCACCACGTTTTTATTAATTTATACAATCTTTTAAAATATTACTTCATTCCAGAGGAAAGGAATTTTAATTTCCTCCTTATTCCCAAAACTGTAACCTGTATGACACGCAGATTTCTGCTGACAGCTTCTGCTCCCTAGGCATATTCAGCTCTTTCACTGAAAGGAGGAGGAAAATGTAAAGAAATCTCAAAACAAAGTGATACATCCCCTTCCACTGATATATGTAATATGAAAGAGGTTAAGTTTCATTCACTCTGATGGTAAAAATGGTTTATTTTTACCAGCTTACCTACAGGGACACCAAGAGGGATCATATTAGCCATAGTTTCACAGTACATGAATTAAGCAGAAATTAGGTGCAGTCTTGTACAAAAATACATTATTTAATAATCTTTACATGAGCAT